GAAATGCAAATATTTATACCAACTACTTGAAAAAACGCTGGGGAAAATGGCAAGTGCCTCACGCGCAAAAGTGCGTCATCCTGGGCCACAGTGAATATCAATTAAGTGCAATTCTGGTTCCTTGACACTTCAGTGCAGGAAAAGGACAAAGGATGTGGGCTTAAATTAGCTGGCTTTCGAGGGTTAACACCGCTTTGATGTACGTTTGATGTTGGGAATTCTAGAGTGGATTAATTGAGAGTGCAATGAAAATATTGGGAAGGAGGTCCTTGAAGAGAGATCCTTTTAAAGTACTTTAAGCAGAAGTTCTATATCCTTAACAGGTTTGGATAAAATCTGTTTTTCAGGATTATTAATTCTCTTTAATATCTTTAAATAAATATTTATGTATGTGCTTATACCAGTTCTCTTTAAACCCTTTTCACTGTAAAACCCATAGGTTTATGTCCTGAAGATCTAGAAAAAGAGGTGAGGAAAGGTAAAGAGTTCAGCGAGTTCAGGCCAAGAAGCCATTGCAGTGCGTTCCTTTCTTCTTTCTTCCATTTTTTCTTCTAGTTAGTGTGACTGTTGTTGTTCTTGTTGTGTACGCAATGTGCGTAAGGAGAAAGCTTGAAAGGAGCGCAAAAAAGCGAAGAAAGTGGAGAATGGATAAGGTGATGTATGTCGGAGTGTGGGTGGGCCTGTGTATTTGCACATGTTCCGTTCATTGTAGCAGCTGTGTGCGTGTTGAGTTGGTTATATTCCCTCTTCTCGAGCTTCCTCTTATTTAACCTCCTCCGCTTTTTTCCATTTTTTGCATAAAGCTGTGGGTGGGTGTGTGCGTGCATATTTATGCGTATTTGTTTGCATAGCTGATGATGTGCCAGCAGCAACAGCAACAGCTACAGCAACAAGAACACTTTATGAGTGCGTGCCAGCCACATTTCCCCATAGATTCACCCCAACTCCCCTTCAACCCCTTAACCCGCACTTAACCCCCGGTTAAGCCGTGCTTTTAACTCCCTCCCCCTCTTATCTGCACTCCTAATATCCTTTAGGGGGCGCCACTGCAATTAGAAAACTTGCATCGCAACTTTTTTTTTATTTTTGCACCAACAACTTGTAATGCAATGCGCTAAATTGTTTGATATCACACGAACATCCGCACACTGCGAAATGCTAAGTGCAAAGTCCTGCTCACAAGTTAAGGTCCTGCACGGGGAAAAAAGGAGGATTCTTAAAGGATGATCGCAAATATTTCCAATTTAAAAATCACTCTTAAGATGGTTTTCCCTCAAAGATACATTTTCAGATAAGACAAAGAGAACTTTTCTGAGCCTAAACAGGAAACAAGAGTACCTTAAAAGTACATAGCTATCTGCCAGCCCGTATTGCCCAACAGAACATCAATCAAAGTATCTAGAGAATACCAAGAATTCGCTCTTTAAAGTACCTCCCAATTTCTAGCCGTGCTCTTTACAACTGCCAACTACGTGCTGTGAAATTTTTTCAGCGCATTCATGTTGCACGTACCGCTCATTGTTGTTGCCGCTGCCGCTGCCGTTGCTGCTGCTGCCGCTGATTCTGTGAGTTTTTTACTCTACCTTCGTTTTGTTGTTGCTTGAAAAACATTTCTTTAATTCTTTCTTTTTGCGTTTCTTTCGTTCGCCTGGTGTCTTGACTGCAAACCACCCCCACGTTAGGGGATGTTTATGCGCGGCAGGACTTTCGTACTTTGGCAAATGACTTGACTTTGGTCAGAGAACTGAGACCAACTTTTAGTTGTTAGCAGGAGTTGGGCAAAAAAAAAAAAACCTGAAATTAAATTGATTTTTTCGTTCTCCTTCGCAGCAGGCAAAAAAAAAAAACACAAGTCGGGGAAAACGAACAAATACATATAATCCCCGGCAACTCTTTCAGTGCTCGACAACATAACAATTTATTGTTTCAATTATATTTTTCAATTTGCGCCGACAAACAAAAGTCCGCCAAATGCAAAAAAGGCTCTCAGCTATAAATAAAATAAATAGCAAACGAACTGAAATTTGTTTTCCACATCGCGGTGATGTTTTTTGTGTTGTGTTTGCCAGGTTTTTCCAGAGGGAATGGAATGGAGGATATATATGAAAGTTATTGAAAGTAAACATGATAAAATAAACTCCGCACAGAGCCACGAAAAAATGGTGTGCCACTTTTTGCGTTGTAATGCCGGCGAAATTGTCTCAAATAATATTTAAAGAAAATTAAATTGAATTTACGGCGGTTCCTTGTTGTTCTTCCATGGGGGGGGGAGTTGGAAAAACGAAAGGCGGCGGGAGCAAACAGAATGATAAGCAAAAATAATCAAAAATCGATTTGGAAAGTGCGTCCCTGTTTCGCCTGCTCTCTCCGTCGTTTGCTCCTTTCTTCGGATACTTGTTTTTGTTGTTGTAACAATATGCCAGAATTTTCCATTTCCCATTTGTTGTCAAAATGCAATCATTTCGGCTGTTGGTGCTGTTGTTGTTACAGCTTGATAGGCACTTTGTAAGCAAAGCACAACAAAAAAGGAAAAGGCAAGGAGAACAAGCAACAACTTTCTCCGGGAAACATTTGGAAATTGAAATTGTAAGGCGACGGACGGGCTTGGCCTTACGTTTTATAAATTCTGTGATTTTGCTTGATTCACTTGACTTAAACGGATTTGTTGGAAAAAGAGGAATCCTGCTTTCAGGAAACGAAAAATTGGCAGGCAATCCAGGAAATGTTACATATTGAAATTTGAAAAAAGCAAAATGGGATCATAGAAAATTGTGATTCATATGATTTCTCAATGAAATATGAAGGGAAGTTTACTTAAAGGCTTAAATTTATATCGAACTTAAAAACTAAACTGCAATAATAACATATATCCGAACCCATAATTATGTAATTGTAGTTAAATCCTTCTCACACTCCCCTCTTTACAATTTCTGGCCACGCTTAGTGCCCCATTTAGTTGACTTTTCCACCACTCTGTGCCAAAGGCCGTCAGCAATTAGTAAGTTTTGTAACCTGCTGACCCTCTAAGCCATTACAGTTAAGTATTCTCGTTCAAATAGGCGTGTGTATGTATCTGGCCGCCTATGGCTGCATTTAACCCCTCGGAAACTGGACTAAATGACAACCGTTTCCTCCGACTCCGCCCCCACACCTTCACCATTTTCCTGCCACATTTTCAGCTGGGGTGCGAATTTGCTTAGTTTGTCGCACAGTTAGGAATAAGCTGTGAAAAGGGTCTGCCAGCGACGTCGACGACGACGACGAGTCGGTCAAGCTGAAAAATGCACTGCAATTGCACCTTGCACACAGATACACATGCTCAGCAAATGGTGCACTGCGAGAAAACTATGGGTACTTTGAGGAAACCGATCCTTGATAAAGAAAATGTGGATTACAAGAGGGAAGTACTCAAATACCAAGCTTCAATGCTCTTTATATGATTGTGTTTATAGTCACAAAACGCGTTTGTAATTGACAGAGGCCTCCTCTTTTCTTGCCGTGTAACTTTAACCCCTTTTTGGCCATGCATCGCTGATATTTAAATTGAGCCAGCGGGCAGTGAAAAGTTCTGAGGGGGCCGTCACCGGGTAGAATGCACTTCAAAAATAGAAAAAAAGGGTTCCGTGGGTTCCACGCTTCTAGGACTCTGCATGTGCTGGGATATCCTTGATCTATTTGAATTCTAACTGACATGCTTTCTCTGAACCTTTCCTGCTGCTGTTATCCCGAGCGGTTGCTGTGGCAATTAGCGCCAGAGTTCGCCGTCTCGCTTTGTTGTTTGTTTATTAATAAACAATAACGGCCAACAAATTGCTTAATTGCTGGATTGCACCTGCCCAGCCCCAAGGATCCCGGCCTTAATGCTTCAACAGCCAAGGACCTCATTACGGAATGGATATTTTGTGTCTCTCATTAAGAGATGCAAAAGGAGAGAGAGAGAGAGAGAGGAAGAGGGGACGACTGATTTTGCACTCATTACCGAAGGAGCAGAGGTGCAAAATGGCTGGCAATGCGGTACTTTTGTCCTTTAACTATTACAAGGATAAGTACTCACAAAGTCCCTCTTTTTTTTGTCCCAGCCTTGTCCTTATGCAAATTGCCATCAAGTATACGCAGCGTGTTCCTTGCCATGCGTAATTACATAACATTAATTTGCATTTCTCGCTTCTTTCCGCTGGCCCTCTGTCTCTCTCAGTGCCAGTGCGAGTGCAATCAATGCAAATGTTCGCGCTGCTGGCAACTTAACAAGGATGTGAACATTTATTTATTAAAATTTAACAACGCTTTACGATCAGCGCGCAGATTTATATAAATGTGTGCAGCCCGACTCGACTGATTGCCATCAGGCAGAACCAGAACCACCACCAGAATGTGAATCGGACTAAGAACCACCAGATCAACCCGGCCATCCCATCATCATCGTCATCATCATCATCCACATGAGCAGCAAATCGGTTCCATAAATACAGCAACAAAAGCATTCAATTGCGCAGACTGGCAAACAGTCACACACAGACAGAGTCAAGCATTTTATTATTTAATTTATGCGGAGACAACAGAACAAAAAAATTGTGCTGGTAAAAAAGAGCACCGAAACTACCACACAAAAGCCACCGGTACATAGATGAAAAGATACATTTGTATCTGTATCTGCAGACTAAACAATAGGAATTCTGCAAGCAAAACAGCCCAACGAAAATATTGAGCATTAAATATGCGGAAAATAGATTTAATAATTGGGGTAGACACTATGGATGTTCAGATTTGAATTCGATTAAAGATCCTGGGAGAGATTTCTCATAGTTTTTCACATATTTCCCATGTTTTTACCCTTTGAAAGCTTTTTAAAATCCTCTGCTCGTCATTTAAGAGCCCCCATTATGCCCAGGATTAAATCATATTAATAATTCAATACATACACCCATAATTATTAAATAATAATTACTTAATGCCCCTGCAAGTGCAAATATAATTACATGAACATGAAAATGTATACGTACGGTTTTGGCTTTGGGTTCCTGCAAGGAAAAAAAGATAGAAAATGAAAATAAATCAACTGTAAATACAAATAAGCTGTGATGCATAAAATAATTAGCAATAATTACAAATTAAATAAATCTGGGCACGAGGGAAGGCGGCCAACCAAAAATTACTCAATGCTGCAAAATAAAAGCTTATGTGTTTATGGAACATGGCACATAGTACAAGTCCAAGTACATATATATATATACTATATGAGTACATATATAGACCGACTGTCGGGCTATCAAAAAATAAGCCCACTAATTGGCTGTCATGGCGGCAATTTGCGTGCCCAAACAGCCTCACCAATGAAAACCCATTAAAATCACAAAAAAAAAAGAGAGACAAAAGCGAAAAAAGCAGCCTGAAAACAATGCAAATTTAAAATTATGGTTTTCAAAGTTATAATTTAAATTTTGGCAATTAAAGGAGCCACACACATAAATCCCCGCAAAGCCTAAGCTGCTTAAAATAAAATAATACACAGAAAAATCATTCATCAATGCCATTTTAATGGACGTGCGTGCATGTGTGCTCGAACGGAATGGGGCTTAAGTCCTGCTCTCAGGACTCTCTTCTGGCTTAGGATTTCGATTTCTACTTCTGATTTCAATTCCTTTTCCTATTCCTATTCCTATTCCTATTCCATGGAGCACAATGCGAACAGATGTGCAGGCGAGCGAGTTCTGCAGATGGTCTACGAATAATAGTGAGTTTGCTCCCTGCAACAGATGAATATGCAATCCTTCGAGGACCAAATAAAACAACGGAAGCTGCCTGGAATTTTCAATAGGATTTTGTGGCCAGGCGGCCTCAGGACACGAGCTAAGGAACAGAGAGAAATTATGATTTTTCAAAATTGGTTTTGGTTTTAAAAACTAAAATTCCTTTTTTATTAAACATTGTTATGTTTTGCCAGAAATTTATCTTGGGTTGTTTTGATTTAAAATGTTATAGGAAGAAGAACACTTTTGAGCTTAAAAATCATTACAAATTTATTTTTTCAGTTAATTAAGTTTTTCTCTCTGTGTACTTTAGCTGAAACCTAAAACAAAACTTTATCCGGCATTTGAGTTCAGAGCATTGAACTCAAACTGAAACTGAAAAACCCAAACTCAAACCGAAATTTCGGGGAGTACATGGGAGACATGCCTGGCAGCATCTTTTGGGACTTATCGAATGACAAACGCACATATTGCTGCCTATAGATTGAATGATTGAATCACTGACGGACTTATTCGAGGCAAAGAGAGGGCAGCAGTCGTGTGCCTGGCCACAAGCGACAATTAACCAAAAGACAACAACAGCAAATTTTTGGCCAACCTAATTTTTTTTTTTGTTTTTTTCGGCCAAAGCTGAGACAGAAGAGGAGCCAAGTAATATCCAAGGGAAAGAGATAGCTGGGCAGGATGAAAGAGGATGCCCGAGTGCAACTGGATATCCAAGGAGCACGACCACGACCGAGTATCAGATTGCACAACATGCTCATCATGAAGCACATCCCGGGCATTATCGCCAACGTCATCATCATCATCCGCACCACCACTGCCACCATTCGTTGCAGTTGTGGCTCAAGTATCCAGCGGAGAGTGTGTGTATAAGTATTATCCTGTTTTCCAGGAGCTGGCAAGCCAACGTGCCAAAAACCGGGCACTGATAAAAATAACTTTTACCAAAAACATGGAAATTCTGTGGAATATTCAATTTCTGCACACTGAATGTGTGCATAGCTTGTGGCATACGAATTATAGTTCAACCATTTAATAATATTTATATTCTTGATAGACAATCAAGCATCAGGATTTTCGCCCAGTGCATGGGCCACCTTGGCAAGTGCTCTCCTTTTTCACCCACTCTCTTTCTCTATCTGTTGGTGTGTGTTTGCCGAGAGTATGTCACGAACAGGGAGTGTTGGTCTGGGATGGTGTAGGTGAGTGTGTGTGTGTGGCCTCAAGTAGGAGCAATGCACTCGTCCTGGCCCAAAGAAGGACTAAGAATAAGGATACGGCGAGTGTTTCGCCAGAGTTTCATATGAGCATATGCATGTTACCGAGCATTTTGTATGCACGAAACGAAAACCTTTAAGTTGTTATGGCTGCATGTTGGTTTTTAGTGACTTCAGTGCATTTGCCTCAATGAAGTTGGAGCGAAATGTGAATTGAAAATGAGAGCCAGCAGAAGAAGCAAAAAGGGAGCAGGTCTTAGAGTGGCACGTAGCGAAGCATCCTTGGACAGCCGAATGAAGTCAATCACTCAAACTCCTAGAAGACTCCAAATGGACTTTCGGGGTTGATTCCGTTGGCTTTCGGTAACTTTCCCTTCACTCAGACACTTTCAATATTTGCCTCGTTTTCTTGTTGATTTTTTCTTTTATTTGTGGAAGCGAAAAAAACGTAGAAAAAATGTTCAAATTTTAATGAGAAAATTCCTAAGAAAAACTGCATATTTAAAGAAGAAAAAAAGTACCCCAGACAAATTGAGCGACACAGGAAATATCCTCTTAGATAGGCTGTCCAGAGATTTTTCTTACTTCTCGTTTTTGGGCAGGGGAAAATATGGAAAACACGAAGTGGGAGTGAGTTCGCTGAGCAATTCAAATAGCCAAGTTAATGACTAAGCCCGAAGGTCTTTTCAGCTGATTTGGAAAAGTAAAAAAAAAAGAAATTACAAAAAAATATTAAACGAAAAATTCAAGAGGGAAAGCTGGCCGGAAAGGGACAGACTTCGAGTCCATCTTAAAGTACAAGTTATTTGTGAAAAAGAAATAAGCCGAAAAGTGCATTGATCCGGCATCGATGGCAAACTGAAGAATGGAATAATTCACGTTCAAAATATATCGCCATTAAATGGAAAACCGGACCAAAGAAGTTGGACAGACGGCACCAGCTGTGAGTTTTAGCTGAGAACTTGCAAGCTACAAAAAAAGAACCGCGAAAACCTTGTCATTATAAAGTCCATGGACAAAGGCATAAATATATGAGCACATGAGTAATTTCAAACTACACTGGTCTACAAGGAAGATGAATTCGGTTGGTTGATCATTTAAATATCTCAACTTAAGCAATGTTATGACAAAGATGAAAGGTTAAATAGTTTTTGAACATATTACAAAAATGTTAAGCTATTTATTATAAAGAAGTTAATAAAATAATAGTCAAAAATGTTTAGTTTGATAGATCTCATAGATTTAATCTACCTCTTCTTTCGATTTCGAAAAACCCTAACCCAGTGACATAGTGTTCCAGTAGCGCAGTCGACATGTGAGGCAGTTGGACAATGAAAGCCCTGATAATGATGTTGCGGATGGCGATGATAAAGCAAAGGAAGATATATCGTAAAACTGAAGCGTCAATTGTCCAGGAGAAGGTGGAGGAGCAGGAGAAGCATGAGGAAGTGGAGGAGCGAGGGGAAGCCATAGCTCCAAATTGGCGCTGCACTATCGCGACGCGTATCTTGTATCTTGTAGATACCCTGTCCATATTGACATGTCAACTGTTGCTCTTTCTCGGTGAAACTGCGAAATTTACAACTTTATCTATGTGTGTCGTCTCAAGTGAAGGGGGTTTTACAGCGGGGCGGGGAGAGGAGGTTTTATAAAGACGAGGGTTATGAAGAGGGGGGAGGGTCTATAGTTGAGATCTCTGCGTGCCATTTTCTCGTTTGACGGCCTTTTGTATAGCGCCCGATCTCCTCGCTCCTGTCAACCTTAATTGTCCACTGTTGCCATCTCTTTCTCTGCAGCACATCCCCCTCTCTTTCGCACACTCCCATATAGTTTTTTTTTTGTTTCCTGTTTGCAGTCCGCTGATCGCGACTGAGAGACAAAACGCTGCGCACTACTCGCTTATTTATTTATCTCTGTCTGTCTGGGTGTATCTGTGTGTGTGTGTGCCGCTTTGTTTGCCTGTATGGTTATGTGTCTATGTATCTGTGTGTGAGTGTGCGATCAAAAGCCGCGTTTGTAACTTGTGAACATCTGCTCCTTTCCTTTCCTTTTATTGTTGTTTTCGTTGCCTCGTTTCGTTATTATCGTTATTTTTATTGTTGTTCTTATTTTATATATATATGTGGCATATTGGGCATTTGTTGCTCTGGTTGCTGTTGTTGTTGTTGTTGTTCTTGGACGTCTGTATTTGTACTTTGAGTCCCCGGGAAAATAGTGCCGCAATATGGAAGCGTCTGTCAATATTGGACATACTCCCTGATTATTCGACGGGGCTTGGAGATTGGGAACAAGACCTTGGACAACTGACATGCCAAGAAAATTCTTTGGATTTGGAATTCTAATCATTTTATTGGGATAATCATTTAACTATTAACTATTTATTGTATGACTATCTTATATAGTTAGAACTACTTATGGTATAAAAGTAGTCATGTCCTAAATTCCTTTTAGGTCCTTTAATTAATCTTAAGTACCTTTAGAACCGAACAATACCTAGCCACTTAAACTCCTAAAAACGATGTGTGTAGAAAATTGAGATGCACAAATATCCTTGGCAGCGGATCACTTGAAACTCCTTAGTGGTCCTTGGGCCATTGAACTTGTTCCCAAACCTCCACTTCACCCAATCCAGAATTCCAGTGACGACATGCAGCGCAATTTGAGATCCGGGATGAGATTCGGGGACCTCTCGCACACATGTGCAACCTGATTTCCGACCGCTCAAAGGACACGCTCTGCCTGCGGCATCTTAAGTGATTTCGAAAAGGAGCTGGAGGATGCGCGGATGTCGGATCACTCAGCCCAGATACTCAGATACTCAGATGCCGAGATACTCGAGTGCACCTCGTACGCAGCCACTTGGGCACACACACACTCCTCTCATTGTAGGTTACTAGTTAAATCTTAAATCGAGGCAGCTGGAGAAAGAGAAGGCTGCCGCAGGGGCCTAAGAAACGAGACGGGACGAGGCACTTGGCCAGGGAACATCTGTTGCGCTGACATAAATCCTGAGTGACTGACCGCTGGTGCGAAAGACCGCGAATCTTGAATGCGAATGTTCATGTGGATACGACTTGCCCGCCGGCTCTCTTTTGAGGACCAAAACCAGTTTCAACCGATTCCCAGCTGCCCGTTTGGGCACAGTGGTTAGAAAATGGGAGATTCTTTGGGGAAATTGGATATTTGATACCTCAGATTGGATCTGAATAAACCCAGGACCATAGGGATATTTTTAAGTACCTTACGAACATAGGAAACGAAATGTTTGTCTTATTTTCCTTAATTTAATATACGCTTTTCTAAAGATCCTCATTTAATAACCTAAAATCCCACTGTGCCCGCCAATTTCATTGAGTAACTTTTGCCTTGCCCGTGAATGAATCTGTGAGATACTCCACACCGTTTCGGCGGGATAGGAGTTGAGAATGGGAAACCCAGGAGTGGACTTACCTTCTTCTCGGTGAGCTTCTCGCAGCGGCGCTGCTTGCAGATCTGGTGGCTCTTGTCATTGCGGCAGGGGGCGCACTCCCCACAGTTGTCCTTGCGCTGGCAACCCACGCATTCGCCGCAACGCTTGCGCTTCTTCTTCGACTGAAAGAGAGAGCAGGAAGAGGAGTTGTTGTCGTTGGAGTGGTTGTGGTTGTGGTGTTGGTGGTGGTTGTGGGTGGTGGGTGTGATCGTGGGTGGGGCAGTGTGCAGTGGCATTGGCGGGTGGTTCAGTGTGGGTGGCGGAAGATGGTGGCGACGACCGTAGTCCTGTTAATCGCAGCGGTTGCCAGTTCGCCCCGTTTCGCTCGTTAAGCGGTAGGGTTGTTGAAGGTTTATGGGATATATCGGATAAATCGATAAGTATCGAAAACAAGATCAAGTTGATCGATCTCGATACATTCCTTAGCTTCAACAACCCCACCAACTGATCACTTACCTGCTTGTCACATCCGCTGGCATTGGCATCGTTGCTATCCCCCATCCCAAGGGCACTGAGCGGACTCTTGAAGTTGGCCGTGCTGGAGACGGCGTCCACTTGGCCAGGATTGCTGGGGTCTACGTCCATGCCGCTGGCCTCACTCTCGGCACTGGACTCCAGCGAGTTGGGCCGCTGTTTCCGGCGTTCTTTTTTCCGAGCTTCGAGCCGAGCTATAGGCGACTGTAGCAGCTTTTCGACCTTGACCGGTGTGGTCGTCGTGGGCGTGGGTTGAGTGGTGGTGTGCGGCGTATGACTGCCACTCCCACTTCCAGCCGCCTGCGGATAGCTGTTGTTGCTATTGTTACCATCATAAGATGTAGGCGTGTGCATCCCCATCGGTATTGGATGTGGCTGGCCGTGCTGCAGCGGATGGTGGATCAGTCCGCCTCCGCCGCTGTTGCTGAGATCAAAATCCTCCTTCTTGAGCAGCATCTCAAAGTCGCTGCCGCCCGAACTCGGTTCTTTCTTTACACCCAACGGGGTGAAACCCGGATAGAGTGGCAATTCTGCGTAGGGAGTGGGATACCCAGTGGCTGCCCGATGATGGTGGTGCGGATTGAGGGCATGATGGTGGGCAAAGGCATTAGGCGGCGGTGGTGCCGGAAAACTGCCCGCTGAGGGTGGAGTAATGCTGGTCTGCAGACTCGATAGCTGGGTCAGAGGTGAGCCCACGCTCATCATGCCCGGTGAGCTAACCGAAATACTAGCCGGTGACATGGCCACCGTTTGCAGGGAGCTCATGGCTGTTGGTCCTACAGGACCGGATACTGAGTTTGGTCCTCCGGAGCCGGATACAGACCCCGGCACTGAGCCAGGAGGCAAGGATCCTGCTGCTGCTGCTGCTGCTGCTGCCGCCGAACCTGGAGGCACTCCTGCTCCTATGGGCACTGGCATGGGTGTACCATCTGGTAGTAATTCATTGAAGCCATGGAACTGGCTCTGAAACGATGGCAGCTTGGAGAAGGGTTCGAAGCCGCTCTTTAGATGCAGATGTGGTTGCGTTTGGGGTTGTGGACCATTGTCCTTGGACTCCATTTCCCAGGGACGCGTGTAGCTGCCGTTCGAGTTGGAATTGGAGTTCGAATTCGAGTTGGCGTTGCTGGTTGAGTTATTGGGATTGCCCGGATTTCCTACTGCGGCGGAGGCGGCGGAAATGGCATTGGCATTGGCATCGCCGTGCCGCTGGCCAGTGTTGCCACCAGTTGCAACATTAGCATGATTGCTGCTGCTGTTGCTGCTGCCCAGAGGCGCTGGAACCGTGGTATTGTTGCCGTCGGTATTGCTGCCGCTGCTGTTGCCGTTGCCGTTGGTGTTGCTGGTGGCGGCCGCTGGCTGTTGCTGTTGCTGCTGCTGCTGTTGATGTTGCTGCTGCTGCCTGGCATAGTAGTCCCAGTGCTGCTGCTGCTGCTGCTGCTGCTGTTGTTGCTGCTGCTGCTGCTGATGTTGCTGCTGGGCGTGTTGTTGCTGCTGGTGCTGCTGCTGTTGGAGATGTTGCTGCTGGGGATAGTGCTGCTGGTAATGATGATGCGGATGGTGGTACGGCGTGGTGTAGTGCTGACTGAGGCTGCTCAGCTGGTTCAAGTGGGTGTTGTGCAGGCTGGACACGGTGGACTCCACAGATGTTGCTGCTGTTACTGCAGTTGCTCCCAAACTGCTGCTGTCGACGGTAGCGCCTGTGCTGCTCTGGGCTAAAATTGAAGACGCCATTTAAGCTCAAACACTGGCATGGCTATGCAGTTGTCTTTAAGAACTGCGGGGCTTTGTACTGATTTTGTTTTTCGTATTTTGTATTTAGTTTTTAAGATTCGTTAGTTTTTGTACACTTTTCGGTTCACTTTTCGTTTGTTACTCTGCTTACTGAGGTAGTTCTTCTTTAAAAATGTCTCCGATTTGACTGGTTTTGTTTGTTGGCTAGTGTAAAACACTCTGATTATATCCGTACAATATATTTGTATACTATATAATATAAGTTGAAGCTACTCCAAGATTTGTATTTCGTTTATTTTTTGAACTCACTGGTTTTGCGTGCCTTAATGCAAAGTTGATTATTCATTTATTTATGGTGTCCTTTTTTTTGTTGTTAGTTTGTAAAGTGCTTTTATTAAATTGTTGTTTAAAAATTGTTTAAGATTTGTTGTTGGTTGTTTTGTACTTTATTCTTTTGTTTGTTTGTAAAACGGCAGCTAGGCAAAAATTTGTATTTTTATATTTGTATTTTGATATTTTGTTATTTGATTTTAATTTTTAATTTAAAAATCTTTGTAAATTTGTAATTTGTAAAATTTGTATTTTGTATGCGTTGTTGTTGTTGTTTTTGTTTTTGTTGTTGTTGTATGTACTTTACTTTTTTAATTACTTGCTGTTTGTTGTTGTTGATAATATTTGATGCTTGCTTGTTGGCTTGTTGTAAATTGATTAAGTTTTTGTACTCTGGTTTTTGCTTCGTTTCTCAATTGAATTTGCTTTCTTCTTAATATGTCGTCGGATATAAAAATAATTTAAGTATTTAGGTCTAGTAAATTGTACTTAATGCGTAGGCTTAAAAATCTTTGTCTTCCGTTTGTTTGTTTGTTTGGGTTTTTGGACTTAACAATTAATTAAACATTAGCGCGTTACTTGTTATTGGCTTTAATAGTAATAATATTTTATATTTCATATAAGTTGGGTTTTTAGCTTAATTCATTTTATGCTTGTTGTTGGTTGGCTTTCTAATTTTGATTGTTGGCCGAAAGGGGGTTTTATTTTGTAAGTTGTTTAAAGATCTTCCAAAGTGCTGTTGTGGCCGTTGTTGTTATCAAATCCTTTGATCGAAAGCTGTAAAAATGAGTAAGAAAATAAATTATGTTAGTAAAGTTTCAGGCGGCGGAGGTGTTTCTGAGTTTCTTATAAAAATATCCTTGTGGAAAAGTTTTCTTTCCCACATTTTTTTTATTGTATTTTCTGTTTCTCTTTCCCTTTCGGGCCTTAAACATCTACAAACTTCAACACATAATTATGGTCTTTGACTATATAATGAGCGGCCAAGTCAGCGAGGCAGGAAGCGGCGAAAAAAAAATAATAAAAAACGAACAGCAAAAAAATGAGCTAAAGGACACTCACTTCTGGCTTTTTATTGCCGCTGCTGCTGCTGTTGTTGTTATTTTTTCTCGTTTTTCTTTTTTTTTGGCTTGTAAGTTATGCTGCCAAGTTGGTTTTGGCTTTGTAAAGCCTCTCACACACACTCACACTCCGGCGAGGCGCACTCACACCATCGCGTAAGCGTATTTCAGTTGCCTTCAACGCCGTTGTCATTTTCTTGCCTTTTTTCGCCATTTTTTGCCCCGCTCTTGTGTCTTTTATTTTATTTTTATTTTTTTTATTATTTTTTCTGTGGCACAGGTGTACTTTTGGTTTCTTTTTTTGTTGCCGAGCGCGTCCTTTGGCTTTTTGCATTTGGCCAGCGAACGTTTCGTTGCGCTTCAGAAAGTTCATTGGGCTCGGAACTTGGGCTTTTTCATCACGACCATGATTATGATGACGCTGAAAATGATGATGATGAGGACGACTGTGATATGTGAGCATGATTATTATGCAGGCACTGAATGCGCCTCAAGCTGCACCAGTTTTAAATGCCAGCAAAGGTGCATAAATGCATAGCTTTTGAGGTGTTTAAGTGAGTGAAAATGTGATATTAATAAGCTCGAGGATAATTGGGGAGCAAGGAATATTTTTTAAAAATTCCAAAAGAATTTTCAAACAATTTGCAATACATAAAAAAGAATAGCAGCCCCACATTCCTGGTCATTTGCATTATTGTAGTAAAAGTTCTTAAGAGTAATTTATACTTTACAAGCTGTAGAACATTCTTCTCCAAGGTAGTTGCTAACTATGTTCTTATCATATTTGACAATATGAAATGTTGGTGACCTGTTTTACACAGTTACAACCTTAGATATCTTTCGCAAGATTTCCCACACTAAAAATCTTTACGCTCATTTCACCCCCAAGTCTTGAAATGGGGAAACTTTTCGCCTGATTTCGGTTGACAACCAAACTGAGTCATCTGCCCCATTGTTCTCGACTCCTTAATTTCAGTTTGGGTTCCTTGAGGTTCTGGCTGCCTTGAGTTGCTCTGCACATTGTTGCAGAACGACAATTAAAGTCTGATTATTTTGTCGACTGCAATTTGCGTGCTGCAATTGCCCCTGCCCCCCAAGGCCCTCTCCTCTCGTGCCGTCTCTCTCACATTATCTTTGTTGCAGTGCCTTCAATAAAAACGGTAAAAGGCCAACGGCCAAGCGAAGCAAACCAACACAAAAAAGGAGGAAAAAGCGAAGAAGAGAACCTGCAGTGAAGAAGAAAAAACACAGAAAATAACACACACACACACACACACGCACACATACAAAATGTTGCAGCTGCCACAATTTGCTGCACTTTCCGTTTTATGCGATTCCGTTTCGCGTTTCCACTTCTGGCCTTTCATCCTGTCCTGTTCTGCAGCTGTAACTTCGGCGTCGTCCTCCTCTTCTGCCCCTTTTTGGTCCTCCTTTCCCTGGGAGAGTTACGAGTCTTACGCTCGACGGGCCGCGATAAAGATCCCTATCCCTATCCCTATCCCAATTTCAATTCCGATTCCGATTCCCAACGCAGCGATCGAGCTCGCGACTTGCCGAAATTGGGCCAAAGAGTTGGCAAAATGGCAACATGTGCAGCCTGCAATTAGGGCTCTCTTTTTCCTTGACCCCAAGGCAAATCCTAACTTTATAGAGAAAGTTTTTGCTATTCTATGGTAATCTCTTCTAGGACATATTTTGGATACTTTTTAAATACTTTTTTTAATTCATAGTTCTGGGTTTTCGATATTTTGTGATTCTACAATCTATGATGACTAAAATCTCCATATTTAAATTGTAAATCTTTGATCCGAATAAATCATGTTGAAGATAAGACAAATTTGTTTCTCAAAGAGATTTACACTTCTTCAGGCGCTTCCGCTCCAAGCGAGTGATATAACACCTAAAATTATATAAATTGTTTGCTAAACCCTTCCCGATCCAATTTCAAAGTTCTTTATCTAATCTTATCTTGGGGAGCTCTCATGCGAAGTTTCAATGTTATGCATATACAGTACGGTCTATATAAACAGGGACTTCTATTTCCAAATGCCATGGCATTAAAGTATGTTAAAAATATATATGTACGAGTATGTATGACCAAAAGCAGAAACAATGACCGCAATTCACTTAAATTTCTTGCTTGCGGCTCGCGCTTAATGCAGCACATTTTTGCAACATGTATGTACAATGTACGTTGTACGTACAACATTCTTTATTTTTTTCGCATTTTGAATTTGCAAATTAAACACGCAGGCCAGACGCACACAAAAGTACCACATACAACCTTATATATATGTATATATATGACTGAACAATGCGTCATTTGGAAAACAAAGTCACTGTGAAGTCGTGGAATGAAAATGGCAGAAGGCGGCACAGAATCTAGGTGACTGCGAGGGCTGTTTTTTGGCAGTATATGTATATGTATAATATACGGAGGGGTAGGGAGTTTCACAGGACGAAGAACTAGGCTACACACATACACACACACAGGAGTTGCATGTGCAGAATAGGAGAGCAAGTGAGGAAAAGCAGGAACAGAAACAGGAGCTGATTCTGAGTCTGGGGTTTCAGGTGTATCCAGAGGGAAACCATCTACCGGTGCTACCTGTGCGTTGTTTGACTTGGCATTTGTTTGAACTCAGCCGGTGCACCAGAAATGCGAGAGAAAAGTGAAAAATATTATGCGAATTTGGGAAGATACTGCGGATTTTGCAATACCCTATGTAGACAGACATAGAGAGGAGAGATTGCACGTATTTGTAATGCAGCGAAATTATCTTTAACTTTGCCATCTTCTCAATTTAATTGATTGACAGACTTCATTAATTAGTAATTTCCATATTTTGATTACGAATTCTAGTATCCCCAACTAACCACACCAATCTGAATACCCCTTAGCCACAGCAACCTCTTTTGATAACAAGTGCAACCAACGACAGTTGGGCAGGTCCATGTTCCGCACATCCCTTTGCAGGATCCAGGAGGACTCCACCGCCCGCCTGTCTGTCTCTCAAGCTGACGCTCCATTTGTGCAAATGAAGTGCTCCTCTTCCATTCCCCCACAAAACCCAAGTACCGAGCACCGAAAACCACCTCCCTCATAACCACTTTCCCAGCTCATCCGCTTCAATGTAATATTTTAATATGTTATCCGAACATTCTGCGCTTGTTTACAACTTTTGCTCATATGAGGATTGTTCAAAAGCAGTTGGGCTAAATATTTATTAACATGTTGCCCCAGCATTTTATTATTATTCTGCAACTATTTTCGGGGCATAATAAGTTCGCATATTTATGCATGTTATACAATTGCCAAATGTGCAACGCTGCAAGTTAATGAATAAAATTCCAGTTTCGGTGGGGTGGCTTCATTTCGCCTGGTAGCCTTACAAGAAGCCCCACAAACCGGTTACTGGTTAGGGAAATAATTTCATTTTATGTTAATGATACGAACTAGATGGCTGAAATTGCACTTCTTGTGAAGGTGGTGGAAGTACTCGATCGAGTTGATTTGCTACGGAAGTACGGAAGGAAGTGTCTCAAGACACCTGATAAGTTTGATATACTTTGTAAAGAAAGGAGTTTTAGATAGATGGTTTCATTCCTACTAGTAGCTTAAGGGTACTAGAACGTTGTACTCATATATTGTATCTCAAATTTAGTAGTTTTCTAAAAGTTGTATTTATAAGAAATCTTTATCAGACAACTGAATGAAGGTTTCCTTAAGGAAAATGGCAATGCAAACTTAAACATCTCATCAGAACTTTATCTGATGACATCTACAGCATAATTTTCCTGAAGTTTTCATATTAGAAAACGTCTCTGCCATATGAAATATATATACAAAATATATATATATTTTAAAATGCCTCTCGTGAGTTAATTCGCCTGGCAGTGCCTGCTCCACATCTCGTTCTTCTGTGTGTCACGTGCAAATTGAGTTGTGCCGAAGGTTGGCGGTGCGATGGGTATGTGTGTGGGTATGGGCAGAAGCACGGGTGGTGCGGCAGTGTTGCAGGCAGGTGTGGATG